TTCCTGTCTTCTCCCAGCTTGATATGTGAATTTGATTTTTCACATGGAGACCAGTGCCAAAATAAAATACTTGTATAGACCTCCTTCCGTCCTGATGATAGGACAGCCACAAGTTCCAGAACAGAGCGAGGCCAACAGGATGTCTGACTGCAAAACAAATTCAAAGCATTTATTTATAGAAATGAAACCTATTAATCAGGGAGTGAGGAGAGATGTACCCCGTGCCTCAGTGAGGTTCCCGGTTCTTGTAATAAATGTAGACACAGCTGTTAAACACTAAAGCACGGGTGTCAAACTGGCGGCCCTCCAGCTGTTGCCAAACTACAAGTCCCATGAGGCATTGCAAGATTGACAGCTACAAGCATGACTCCCAAAGGCAGAGGCATGATGGGACTTGTAGTTGTGCACCAGCTGGAGAGCCGCCAGTTTGACACCCCTGCACTAGAGAGTACACATTAAAGGAAAACTCCAGACTGTCATCCTTTATTAATCAGACTTTAGGAAATGCTCATGTTTTTTTTTTTTTTTTTTTTTTTTTTTTTTTTATTAGCCACTTGAGCTCCAGAAGTTTTTACCCCTGTGCTGCCTTGTATTACACAAGGCATTCTTTAGCATTCAGCAGTGTCTGTCCCTTTAAAGGCCTGAGACTTCCTGTTTGCTAACTTGGGAGGAAGTGACCTCATCTCTTCAGACTGAAGAAATTCTACAATGCAAGTACATGTGGGATGCTGTTCCCTCTTCATATATGGGCTTGATTAGACCCCCAAAGTCTGTAAGTACCCCTCCTATGTACTGAGGAATGTTGTGCATATTGCTAGGTAGTTAGATATGTACTCATGTCTGTTTATTCTGTTTGTATTCCAGTTTTACCACATTCATCCGCGCATTCACATTCATTCATTCTCATTATGATCACATGTTATCAGTAAAAGATCATCGGTTATCAATCATCGACTCTTTACTGTGTGGACATCAAAGGTTATACTGCCTGTAACCCTTTCATAACTGCAGAGAAGGCAGGACAACCCCCATGACCAAAGCATTTTTTGCTATTTAGCACTGAACTATTGGACTGGCAGTTGCACGGTCATGCAACACTGTACCCAAATGAAATTTGTATTTTTTTTCTTTTCTTTGCACAAACAGAGCTTTGGTGGTATTTGATCACCACTGGGTTTTTACATTTTTATTATATAAATGAAAAAAGACTGAGAATTGTGAAAAAAAAACCCACCATATTTTCTACTTTCTGTTTATAAAATACATCCAACAAAAAATCAAAACAAATTTCTTCATAAATTTAGGTCAAAATGTAATCTGCTACATGTAAAACATTATCCCAATAATTGTATATTAATTGGTTTCTACAAAAGTTATAGCGTCTAAAAACTATGGTATGTTTATATATACTGGAATTTTCACAGCTATGATGCTATACTGGTAATGGCGGTGATCAGGGACTGTGATAGTATGGCGGGCAATCTGGCAGTAATTGACGCTGACTGGGAGGTGCACTGACTGTCTAAATGACACAGACTTCAGTAGTGACACTAATACAGTGATCAGTGCTAATACTGTCACTTTACTACTGACACTGGCTGGGAAGGGGTTAACATCTACGGCAATCAAAGGGTTAACTGCGAGCCTTAACCACTTCCAGACCGGACACTTTGACCCCCTTCCTGACCAGGGCAATTTTCAGCTTTCAGCGCTATCACACTTTGAATGACAATTGCTGTGGTCATGCAACACTGTACCCACATGAATTTTTTACCATTTTTTTGAGACAGATAAAGCTTTATTTTGGTGGTGTTTATTCATCGCTGGGATTTTAATTTTTTTTGCTATTTATATGAAAAGTCCAAAAATTTTGAAAAGTGTTTTTTTAATAAAATTTTGCAAATAAATAATATTTCATCATAAATCTTGGCCAAAATTTATTCCGTTATCTTTTTAGTAAAAAAAAAAAAATGCAAATTAGTTTATAACCAAACATTATAATTTTTAAAAAAAATTGTTTACATTTTTATTTTTTTTTTTATATTTTTTTTTTTTACATACTGTCACCCTAGCAGTACAGTGTCACCATGGTGACACTGTACTACTTGTGGGGGGTGATGAAGATTTTTTTTTTTTTTGTTTTTTACACTGATTGCTTTTACACCCATATAGGATGTAAAAGCAATCATTTCTCCTTCTCTCTGGCTGCATTCTTGCACTCATTGAGAAGTACTGAGTGAGCTGTGATTGGTCACAGCTTGTCACATGGTACAAGGCTGTTGTGAATAGCCTTGTACCATGTGACCTCTGTGATCATTCACAGATTTCACACGTAGTAAGCAATGATGTCACAAGTGACATCTTGCGTACTACTCTGCATGTGATCACTGATTGGCCAATCAGTGATCACATGATCGGGACCTCGTACAGAGGTCCCATCCGACGATCGGTGTTTCACTGTGTCCGGAGGACATAGCGGGCACCGGATCGCGGTGCTGTGCGCTCCCTCCCCCTGTTTGTAAACGGCCACCCGACCCTGCACTGCCACCATCTGGCCGTTTATAGGCAATGGCCGGTCGGGAAGTGGTTAATAATGTGTAATGTGTGCTGCTTTTACTTAAAGCGGAGATCCACCCAAAAAGGGGAAGTTCTGCTGTAAGGACTGGTCCCCCGCTCCCCATTAAAGATTGGCAGCTGAAATTGACAGGTACCTGCTCCCACTTCCGCTGGGATCGCCTAGGCAATCGAAAGGGGACGTTGTCCTAATCCTCACCCCCCCCCCCCCCACCACCACCAAGCTGTCACAGCTAGGTGCCCACACTGAAGATGCCAGCGCCGGGAACACAGGGCGGCCGGTGAAACGGGCTGCGGGTGACACTGCGGGATCGAGGGACAGGTAAGTGTCCGTTTTTTAAAAGTTAGCAACTACAGTTTTTGTAGCTGCTGACTTTTTTATTTTATTTTTTTATTTTCACTGGAACTCCTCTTTAACTGTCTGTCTGGCTGGTTTATTTATTTATTTATTTTTCTCCCTGCTTTGCAGGAAAGAAGAAACCGTCAGATCACTGTTCACAGTGCAGTGTTCTGTTCTGTGTGTTTTTCTGTTTGGTATCAGCCTCACGTGTTCCCCTGCCTAGTAGCACTCAGTCTGGGAGAGGAAGGGGCAGTACTAGCAGTCAATCATGTGCACTACATGCGCGGACAGGGGGGAGAGAGCAGAGCAAGCAAGGACTGATGCTTTGTATTGTGCACTAATTTTTGCATCATCACTCTTTATTTTCATATTCTTCACTAAAAAGTAGTTTTGAAGCTGAATGCCGGGACAAGCAAATATTGTCTAATACAAGAGTCCTGTGTATTTCTTCCAGTTCTGTGCAGTAATCCAGTGTTGAGACTTTCTCTTTGCAGGAGCTTGAAAAACAGCTCTTTGATCTTTGCCATGGTGGAGAGTTTGGAATCTGATTGTTTGATTGCTCCTGTGGACAGGTGTCTTTTATACAGGTAACAAAATGAGATTAGCAGCACTCCCTTTAAGAGACTGCTTCTAATCTCAGCTTGCTACCTGTATGAAAGACACCTCATAGCCAGAAATCCTGCTGAATGATAGGGGATCAAATACTTATTTCCCTCATGAACATGCAAATCAGTGCATCATTTGTTAGGCATGCATTTCTTTTGAATATTTTGTTGCTATTCTGTCTCTCAGTGTTACAATACACCTACCATTCGATTTTTAGACTGATCATTTCTTTGTGAGTGAGCAAACATTCAAAATCAGCAGGGGATCAAATACTTCCTTCACTGTGCAGCACAGTGATGATGTCACTGCTACTTTTACAGAGTAATATCTGCAATTGCTAAGGCATTTGGTGCAAAGAGCAGATTTATGTCTTTTGTGGCTATTGAAGAATATAATTAAATGAAAGTTTCTGTGCCCAGACTTAAGCTTTAGATGAAAGAGCAGTAATCAGAATTGTATCCTGACAGTTCCTTTAGCTCGGCACCCTACAGGGTTTACAGTGGGCGGCACAGTGGCTTAGTGGTTAGCACTTCTGCCTTGCAGTAAATGGGTCATAGGTTCGATTCCCGACCATGGCGCCTCCTGCATGGAGTTTGTATGTTCTCCCTGTGCCTGCGTGGGTTTCCTCCGGGTACTCCGGTTTCCTCCCACGCTCCAAAGACATGCTGGTAGGTTAATTGGATCCTGTCTAAATTGTCCCTAGTATGTGTATGTATGAAGGTGAGTTAGGGACCTTAGATTGTACACCCTTTGAGGGTTAGGGACTGATGTGAATGTTCAATACATATATATGTGAAGTGCTGCGTAAATTGACAGCACTATATAAGTACCTGAAATAAATAAATAAAAAATAAATTATATTATTATTATTATACAGGATTTATATAGCGCCAACAGTTTGCTCAGCGCTTTACAGTATAATGGGAGACAATACAGCAACAATACAGTCCAATACAAGAGGGATAGGAGGGCCCTGCTCCTCAGAGCTTACAATCTAGGAGGGAGGGGCTAGCGGTACAAAAGGTAGTAACTGTGGGGGATGGACTGGTAGGAGGAGTAGAAGATTCCATTATTAGCTGATGGCAGGATAGGCTTCCCTGTAGAGATAGGTGATCTCTGAAAACATAAAAGTGAGCAGAGTAGGTGATAGTGTGATAAATTGGGGTATAGAGTTCCAGAGGATGGGGTGGAAGCTCTAGAGAAGTCCTGGAGACGAGCATGGGAGGAGGAGACAAGGGAGCTAGAGAGCAGGAGATCGTGCGAGGAGCGGAGAGTACAGTTTGGGTGATATTTGGAGACAGGATTGGTGATGTAATTTGGGGCAGAGTTATAAATGGCTTTATATGTTATTAATGTTTTGAATTTTATCCATTGGGCAATGGGAAGCCAGTGGAGGGATTGGCAGATTGGGATCGCCATACACTGTTTTGTGTTTGTATAATGTACAGTCATTGAATAACTGGCGTTTTGTGTCTTGCAGTTACAGCGGATTGCGTGAATTGTGTGTAAACATCACCGAGACGGAGTGCGACTTCACAGAAAAAATCTTTCCCTTCTGGAGGGGAAGACCGATGGTCCGGGCGGAGTTGGGATTGAGAAGATCTGAATGGGTTGTATTGCCAAATTTCCAACCAAGTATAAACAGTACGTCATTTGGGGGTGGGGGGTGGGGTTGTCCTAAAATGACACTGAAGTGAGAAAAGAAATCATTTGCTCCTGTTTTTTCGCGCGTTTTTTTGGCGTGTGCTCGTTTTTCAAATGCGTGGGGGTACCATTAGCAATTAATGGCACCACCCATCGGCTAAAGGTTAGCTGTTTCTGTGCGTGTTGGTAAAGTGCGCTATTTTGTCAGAACCTACCCGAAGAGTTCTGACAACAGGGGATGAGACTAGCTGGCCATACTCTGGCAGAATCTCGAAGGAAACCTTCATTCAGTTTTCTGTTTATTTTTTACTGCAATGATGAGAAAATTCAAAGTATTTTTTTTTGAATGACTAGATTTCTAACAGCAGATGTGGGTTTCGCTTCTTAAAGCCCATTTGCTCCACTCATTGCAATATATATATGTGGAACAGAAGTCTCTGACTTTTTTTTTCCAAAAATGTGCCGCACTGCATGGTGCTTTACTTGTGTATTTGCAGTTGCATAGGGATGCCACTAACAATGGCACCAATGTGTGTCTGCTAAAGGGCAACGCGTTTCTGTTGTCGGGAAAGCACTAAATTTTGTGCGCATTCTCAACATATATAGATGTGAATATAGCCAAAGGCTCCATTCACATATGGGCGGTTTAAAGCACGCCGTAATTCTGCGCATGATTTCAAATCGCAATGTTAAAATGTCAAATCGCACACATCAGTATGTTCAGGTACCATTCATTTCAATGGCACCTAAAATGTGGTGTGATTCTGCTGTGATTGTCACGCTGCAATCACATGACACATGTCGCCCAAAAGAAGTTCCAGAACTTCCTTTGGGCGACATGCAACAATTGTAGCGAGATTTGAAGAAGCACAATCGTGTACCTGTACAACAGCCCATACTTCCAGGTTCAGGGTGTGCATGCCCCCCACCCCGTTTCCCAGGCTACTCCTGCTGTGATTGGACACAGCTGGATTTTGTCAATGGGTGTCAGCGAATGATTCATGTCTGACCTGCTGATCGGCTGTGTCCACTCAAAACCCAGAGCCCTGTGTTGACAAATGCGCAGGGTCTACAGAAGTAACGATCTATTTGTTCTCCTTTCAAAGCAGGGAGAAGGAATAAACCGATATTTAGTAAAACGGAAAACAGCACATATTATACACATTAACACTTGCTAGGCACACAGTTAACCCTTTGATTGCCCCTAAATGTTAACCCCTTCTTAGCCAGTGTCATTAATACAGTGACAGTGTATAGTATTATCACTGATCACTGTATTTGTGTCACTGGTGATGTCAGAGCCCGTTAGTTGGTGTACCTCCCGGCCAGCGTCAGTCAGTGTCAGATTGCCTGCTGCACTAACATAGTCCAACTATAAGTCATTGCCATTACAAGTAAAAAAAAATAAATAAAAATTCAAGTATATATATCCTATTTTGTAGATGCTATAACTTTCACCTAAACCAATTAATATACACTTATTGGGTTTTTATTTACCAAAGACATGTAGCAGAATACATTTTGGCCTAAGTTTTATATAGAAACTAGATTTTTAAAAAAGTTTTTGATATGTTTCATAGCAGAAAGTAAAAAATATAATATAAATTTTTTTTTTTAAATGTTTTGTCATTTTTCGTTTTGTATAATAAAAAATCAAAAGCCCAGTGATGAGTTGATACCACCAAAAGTAAGGTGTATTTTTGTGATATAAGTTATATAAATTTAATATGGGTACAAAGTTGCATGACCCGCGCAATTGCCAGTTAAACTAGCACAGTGCTAAATAGCAAAAACTGGCCTGGTCATAAACAGGGGTAAATACTTCTGGAGCCAAGAGGATATTCACTATAGATCTACCAATCAACCATAACTTTATGACCTGTGACAGGTTACGTGAATAACACCCCTTCATTGAAATCACATTCCCTGATGACAATGGCCGCTTTCTACAGGATAATGCTCTCTGCCACGCTGCAAAAATGGTTCAAGAATGGCTTGAGGAACACAACGAGTCCAATCCATGGAGGTCCTACCTCACAACTTAAAGGATCTACATCTGATGGTTTGGTGCCAGATACCACAGCATACCTTCAGAGGTCTAGTGGAGTCCATGCTTCAATGCACCATGGCTGTTTTGGCAGCAGAAGAGGGAACCTACTCCATATTAGATGGGTGGTCATAAAGTTATGGCTGGTGTATGTATATTTATAGGGATAGATACACATGCCGGTACAGTTCATAAAGTCATTTACACATGTTTTGTTTCTCTCTGCAGCAACCATAGGACCCGTGAAGTCACTTGTCCTGCTTTCCAATTCAGGAAAGTTGATTGTGGAGTTTTCATACCCCTTTTCACCAATTCCTGATGTATTGAAGCTGAACTATAACCTGTCTTACTGGAAGGAAAATTCAGAGGAGAAGGTAGGTTCCTGGCATGTGCTAGGCCAGGGAGTTGGGTATTACCCAGTCTTTGTTCTATCTGAAATTCAGCATATTGCACTTTAACCGCCTCCCGCCCGCCATGCAAAGTGGTTCTCGAGTTCTGGGAAGACGTCATATGACGTCCTCCCGCTCTAACCATGCGTGCAGCGCGGCGATCGATGGTGCACTGTGTCCCTGGGACACAGCAGATCACCGATCAGCGGAAAGAGCCGATGACTTTGACTCTGTCATGTAATCAGCTGTGTCCAATCACAGCTGATCGCATGTAAATAAGGAAATGTCGGTTATCGGCCTTCCTCCCCTCACGCTGACAGCTTGAGAGGAGACGGTAATTACATTACTCAGAGGGGACATCTACACTGATCATCAGGCCACTAATGATCAGTGCCCTGATGATCAGTGTAGTGTCATCAATGCCACTTGTCAGTGGCCATCAATGCCACATATCCGTGCCTACCAGTGCACATCAATGCCACAGATCCGTGTCCATCTGAGCTGCCTTTCAGTGCCGCCTAACAATGCCAGTCAGTGCTGCCTATCCCTGCCATATATGAGTGCTGACTTTCAGTGATGCCTATCAATACCCATCAGTGCCACTTGCCAGTGCCTCCTCATCACTGCAGCCTCAGTAGCGCACATCAGTGAAGGAGAAATATCACTTATTTACAAAATTTTATAACATAAACTAAAACTTTTTTTTTTTTTTTTTTCAAAATTTTCAGTTGTTTTTGGTTTGTTTAGCAAAAAATAAAAAAAAACAGAGGTGATTAAATACCACCAAAAGAAAGCTCTATCTGTCTCAAAACAATTTCATATGGGTACAATGTTGCATGACCGTGCAATTGTCATTCAAAGTGTGAGAGCGCTGAAAGCTGAAAATTGGCCTAAGGGAAGGGACCATTGAAAAGGTGAATATTGATCCCTTTAATTTTGTTTTAGTGTGAACCATGTTATAAGTAGATTTTGGTTTTTATTGCTGTCTGCATTTCAACTATTATTTCAACTATTATTCAACTATTACCAATTATCTTTATTTCCTGTACTGGTGTCACAAAAATAACGAGTCAGATATCCTCCCAATGAAGATGAGGCTGACAAAGAAACCTGACAGAAGGTCTAACACTTCATCTGTCTGAAACTAAAAAAAAAAGGGTTTGGCTGAAGTTGGAGATAACGTTGATAAAAAGCTGTGTTGCTGTTCAGTGCAACCCCTGAAGAGAGTCTCAAGTATTTTTGTCTTTCTTTTTTTTTTTTTCCTTTTTGGTTTTACTGCAGAAAAGTTGAACTGTAAAGTCTCTTCTGTAAAGTCAGGAAGGGTTAGACGGTCTGTCAGTTTTTTATTTCTGTCTCCCGAAATGGAGATTAACCCTCCCTTGCTGTCCTGAGGGCCAATGTCACCAGGACACAAAGACGGGAAATTATAACTTTTTTACATCTGGCACCGGAACAGGAGATTCAGGGGAAATCGCTCAATGCAGATTCTTAATCTGAGAACTGTCTTGGGCCTCATGCACACTGGACATTTATCCCAGGTATGTGACTTTCCAGCATTTAGGTGCAAGGAAGATCCAGAAGTGCCCTGTCCATCCCTGCTGCTTCAGCCTGTAAATCTCTGAGGCCGTATTCACACTTTGTGTTTCCTGAACACTCAAATGCACAGAAAATGCGCTGAAAACACACGCAGCATGCTTGCAGTGTCATGAATTGTTAATGGCACCCCAAACATGGTTAGCAGATGTCCAGCAGCAAACATGCTGAAAAAAAACGCACGATGCTCCAAGCCTGAAAAAGTTCCAGAGCTTCTTTGGCACGTTTGTTTCATTCATGGGCATTCAGCAACACACAGAAAAGTGCAATAATTCGTCTCTTGACACCGTGTGGCCTCACTTCCTTCTAGAGGCCCAAAATGTTTTTATATTTTAGTACAGGCATGGCCTCCGTGGTTTAGTGCAGGCCTGGCCTCCGTGGTTTAGTGCAGGCCTGGCCTCCGTGGTTTAGTGCAGGCCTGGCCTCCGTGGTTTAGTGCAGGCCTGGCCTCCGTGGGTTTAGTGCAGGCCTGGCCTCCGTGGTTTAGTGCAGGCAAGGCCTCCGTGGTTTAGTGCAGGCTGGCCTCCGTGGTTTAGTGCAGGCATGGCCTCCGTGGTTTAGTGCAGGCATGGCCTCCGTGGTTTAGTGCAGGCATGGCCTCCGTGGTTTAGTGCAGGCATGGCCTCCGTGGTTTAGTGCAGGCATGGCCTCCGTGGTTTAGTGCAGGCATGGCCTCCGTGGTTTAGTGCAGGCATGGCCTCCGTGGTTTAGTGCAGGCATGGCCTCCGTGGTTTAGTGCAGGCATGGCCTCCGTGGTTTAGTGCAGGCATGGCCTCCGTGTTTAGTGCAGGCATGGCCTCCGTGGTTTAGTGCAGGCATGGCCTCCGTGGTTTAGTGCAGGCATGGCCTCCGTGGTTTAGTGCAGGCATGGCCTCCGTGGTTTAGTGCAGGCATGGCCTCCGTGGTTTAGTGCAGGCATGGCCTCCGTGGTTTAGTGCAGGCATGGCCTCCGTGGTTTAGTGCAGGCATGGCCTCCGTGGTTTAGTGCAGGCATGGCCTCCGTGGTTTAGTGCAGGCATGGCCTCCGTGGTTTAGTGCAGGCATGGCCTCCGTGGTTTAGTGCAGGCATGGCCTCCCGTGGTTTAGTGCAGGCATGGCCTCCGTGGTTTAGTGCAGGCATGGCCTCCGTGGTTTAGTGCAGGCATGGCCTCCGTGGTTTAGTGCAGGCATGGCCTCCGTGGTTTAGTGCAGGCATGGCCTCCGTGGTTTAGTAAAATGGCCTCCGTGGTTTTAGGCCATGGCCTCCGTGGTTTTAAATGGATACGGCCTCCGTGGTTTTAAAATCGATACGGCCTCCGTGGTTTTAAAATCGATACGGCCTCCGTGGTTTTAAAATGGATACGGCCTCCGTGGTTTTAAAATGGATACGGCCTCCGTGGTTTTAAAATGGATACGGCCTCCGTGGTTTTAAAATGGATACGGCCTCCGTGGTTTTAAAATCGATACGGCCTCCGTGGTTTTAAAATCGATACGGCCTCCGTGGTTTTAAAATCGATACGGCCTCCGTGGTTTTAAAATCGATACGGCCTCCGTGGTTTTAAAATCGATACGGCCTCTATGGTATTTTACAGACATGGTCTCCAAAGATCTAGAAGCCCTTCTCTTTATCAAGGAGTTTAGTTCTCTGATGACGTCTATATATATTTTGTTCATCTTCTGACCGGGATTTATCTTTTCACTTTAGAAGACGGATAACCTTCATTCTTCCATGACCCACGTATTGGACCATCTGGAGAGCAATGCAAATTACTGTGTTCAGGTGTATGCTTTTACACATTTTATAAAAGGCCTGCTGAGTGACCCCGTGTGTGAAACTACAGCTACAGGTAATTAATTTGTTTTATTTATATAGACAGGTTTGACATTGGGCCTCATTCACTTGTGTGTACTTGTGAATGAAGCCTGTATGAGGGTCATGTTTACCCGCATGGGATGCATGGGTATCCCACGGATCTCTGGGCAGACAGTCCTGTTCATGTCTGTTTGGACTCAGCAGCTGCACAGACACAATCGCTGCTCCCAATGTGACATCCATGTTGGTGAAGGTGCGCATGTCCTTGAACACAGAATGAGTTTGGAGAGATGAAATTGGGACCAGCAGCTGTGACTGCACAGACACGGTGTCCAAATTGACATGAATAGGACTGCCTGAACGGAACACACCTGTCTGTCCCATACAGGCACACATGGGGCCTTTGCACAGGTGTATGCATGAAAGATAAGTTCATCCTTCTTTTTTTTTTTTTTTTTTTTACAAAAATTTATTGAACTGTACTGTCTCCTGTTATATTGTAAAGCGCTGAGCCAACTGTTGGCGTTCTATAAATCTTGTATTAGACTTAAAGCATTTCACCCACAATCAGCAGGTCACAGGTGCAACTTAAGGCTCCTGCAGGCTGTCTGTGTAGCATACCTCATACAGGCAGGCAATTACTGAATGACGGGAAGAATCGGTGAACTACCTAGAGAGCTCAAAAGCACCCTTGTAGTTCATTGAGAACTTCAAGTCATCAGCCGCAAAGGCTGTTGGTAGTTGTAGTTTACCATTCACAGAACTCTGTGAATGAATAACATGGCTAAGTGGGCGGAGCCTCGCTGCGGTTTTTTTTTTGTTTGTTTTTTACTTGCAACAGTGGGAAGATCCCCAGCCCGCTGTCACATCGGCCAGTCAGGAGATGGGGGCTGCCTATTTAGTAACATGTGGCACCCTTAATAGGAGTGTAACATGTTACTAAAGGTGCACCCTGAAAACCCATCTCTTCAGGGAAGCCTACCCCACTCTCACCTAACAACCGATCTCCTCCACTCCTCCTACCACTCCATCCCCCACAGCCATCTCCTCCTGTACCACTATCCCCTCCCTCCTAGATTGTAAGCTCGAAAGAGCAGGACCCTCGAACCCCTCGTGTATTGTATTGTTACTGTCTTGTCTCATGTTCTGTCCCCCTTGTTACTGTACAGCGCTGAGCATACCCTTTGGCGCTATAAAATAAATACTGTATAATAAGAATAACTTATCCTTTTAAAGCCGTATTAAACCCATTTTTTTTTTTTTTCTTACACTGTCAGTTTCTAATTTTTTTTTTTTTTTTTTTTTTTTAATCACTTTTATTCCTATTCCAAGGGATGCAAACTTCCCTTGTGATAGAAATAAGCAGTGACAAGTCCTCTTTATGGGGAGATCTGGGGTCAATAAGACCCCATATCTCTCATCTACAATATAAAGCATTAGATTAAAAAAACAAACATTAATCTAGTGCTTTAAAAGGCTTTGTTTACATGGCGCCTGAACCGTAAGTGACGTAATGACATCGCTCTGGTCCTCCAAGGGCATAGAGATGGGTGGAGGCCATCTTTCCTTTACTGGTCTCTATGCCCAGCCACCAAGATCAGTGGGGTGGACAGGGACAGGGGATGTGGCTATTTTCCACACCTGTATCGGTGCCTATTTCTATATCGGCCAATCTGGGTATGTTCGGCCAAAATGTTTTGGCCACCGAAATTTTGGTGCATCCCTAGTTCTTATCCTTCCCCACTCCATCCAAAACTAGAAAAGAAGGTTTTGACTTGATATAAATTTTAATTATATAATAAAGTGACTCTAAAGTCAAGACATGTTTATCTTCTTGCATTCCCTGCATTAAGGTAAAACATGTCCCAGTAGTTATATGCCCCCCCTTTCCCCTACAGCACCCAACTCCCTATCTGGTTCCTGCGCTGTGCCTGTCTGCAGTGCCACTCTCTCCCTCTCCTTGTTCTCACCAGACACAGAGACATTGGCTCCTGCTGCTGTCAATCAGATCCTGTGAGAACGGAGTGGAGCTGTGTGTGTCTACAGCTGCACACCTGCACAAGTGCCCCCCCATAGCTGCCAGCTTGCTATGGGGGCACTTGCAGAAGTGGAAGAGTGGAGAGAACCTGCAGCAAATGCTAGTAGAGGAGGATCAATTGGGGCCACCAGTACTATTGCACAGCACAGGTAAGTAAACCATCTTTTTATTTTGTGGGGGAAAAAAATTGTCTTTATAACCACTTTAATGATTACAGAGCTGGATTCATGTTTATCTTTAATATCTGACTAGTGTTTAGCTTTAAGTCATTTTTTTTTATTAAAAATGTTATTGCACGTAACAATGTTATGTTTTTATTTCAGATATCACATATAAGATCGTGCTGGGCTGTATATTTGTATTCGTATTCATTATTGGTTTAATCAGCTTGTTCATCATCCCTGATAAACCTCTTCACCTGGTTCTGTCTAGAATCAAGAATTGGCTGGATGGCCCTTATAGGATCCCCTCCCATGTACTGGATGTGAGTACACCAGATTCTATTACACAGATCCTCTCCATACAGTCCACATTGCTTTACCTCTCTGGTGATCTCTCCTGGGTCAGACAATGATCTTTGGTGACAATAAAATGCCAACTGAAGTGTTTAGTAGTATGTCCCACTTCTACCGCCACATATATTATACATCACGGCGATAAAAAGTTTATTCCCCTGATTGGACTTATTCGTATGCGCATGCATTCGCATATCATGTTTTGTGAACATGCGCAAAACAGTGTTGCACATGTATACGGTTTTTTCACCGTGCATGCGGTGCATCTCATTCATTTTAATGGACTGCCCTGTGCTCATCAGAACACGGCAAAGTAACTCGTGCATCTTTTTTAAGAATCAATTTTTACACAATCATTTTAATTGTGCATTTTCTCGTATTTGGTTTTCACATAAAAGACGCTTTTTTTTGGCCATGTTTGAAATGAATGGCTATGCAAGTGCAACATGCGGGGATTTTTTTTCGGGGGGGATTTTGCTAATGCTGAATTCATGCTGTGTGTGGTGACATGCACTTTACCGCATTGTAAAACGCCTTTCACTGTGGGGAAACACTTGATTCCTGTGTGTCCCATTCACACTGCAAAGCAGACTTGCTGCATTTTATCACAGCCCAGTGTGCTGAATCCCATGGCAATGTAAAGCACCGCAGTGCATCATGCTGCTGTGCATTACCATGAATGGAGTGTAGGTTTTGTATACTTTACATAAAGTTTGTACAAAAAAAAAGGGGGGGAGCTGTGTGGTGCGCTGAATTGCACACCACACTGTCCCCTGCCGCATCCTCTAGTTCCTGTGTGAATTTACCCTAAATGTAGGCTAAATAAATTCCAGGTGCATCAAAACAGATGTTGTGCCAAGTCTGACTCTTGGGGGTTTATTTACTAAAGCTGGAGAGTCCAAAATCAGACTCCCTTCTGCATAGAAACCAATCAGCTTCCAGGTTTCATTGCCAAAGTTTCATTGAACAAGCTGAGGTTAGAAGCTGATTGGTTTCTATGCAGAAGGGAGTCTGATTTTGGACTCTACAGCTTTAGTAAATAAACCCCTTGGTGTCGGTGTGAAAGCAGTGGTCTCTCTGCAGGGGTCCCTGCTGAGTCTGAGCTAAAACTCTCTAATCTGCAGGGGGCATACGTTTTGATGACTGCAGCAATATAGGTCCAAAATAGCAGGTGGTGTTACCTCTGTAGAGAGACCACTGCTTCCACACAGAGAGCATGGGTCCTGCTGTGAGCATGATAGTAGGGAACAGTGAGGACTAGTTCACATGTGCGGCAGCCGTTGCTTCCCCTCTGAAAAGCGAAGGCAGTAGAGCAGTGACAGCCAGGCATGCACTTTTATTTTTAAAACATTTTTTTGATAGCCAAATGGGGATTTTGTTTGTGAATACAGCGCCACAACTGAAAGCCAAGCGTTTGCAGCACAAACCCATTCACGTGAAAAGGCTGCGTTTGGCAGTACTACCTGCTGATTTTTACAGGGATATAATTTGGGTTGGGGCATTTGAACAACCCTGTGCCTCTATTTTAGATGAAACATAACGTTTTTGCCGCTTCCCCTCCGGCCCGCCTATGTGGACAACACCTAAGGCTTTGCACGCATTTTGTTTTTTTTTTCTTTTTTGCACCTAGAAGGTATGTAGCCGATTTATACTGAAAGTTCAGTTGGATGTTACATCTGTGATTGTCATGCTGTATAATGTACATCCTTAAATCTGTATGAACCATAAGAATTCGCACACCTTTTTTGTTTGTGTTTAGCTGATAGAAACTGCAATTTGTTTTAGTAGCCAGCCATTGTGCAGAATGTCTCCTACACAGATCAGTTATCCATCTGTCAGTATGGGAGTTTATTGTAGGTGGAAGGGAAAAATTATTATTATTATTATTATTATAATACAGGATTTAGGTTGTAAAGCGCAATTACAAATCATTTAACCAATTCCCGTCCGGCTGTTGTATATAAACGGCCGGACGGTGGCAGTGCAGGGTCAGGTGGCTGTTTATAAACAGCCTCCCCGCCCCCTGCTTGTGCGCGCTTCCTGGGAGCGCGCCACACCATGATCCAGTGCCCGCTGTGTCTTCCGGACGCAGTGGCACACCAATCGTCATACGGGACCTCTGTGCGAGGTCCAGATCATGTGATCACTGATTGGCCAATCAGTGATCACATGCAGAGTAGTAAGCAAGATGTCACTTCCTGACATTATTGCTTACTACGTGTGAAATCTGTGAATGATCACAGAGGTCACATGGTAAAAGGCTATTCACAACAGCCTTGTACCATGTGACAAGCTGTGACCAATCATAGCTCACACAGTAGTTCTCAATGGCTGCAAGAATACAGCCAGAGAGAATGAGAAATTATTGCTTTTACAGCCTTTATGGGTGTAAAAGCAATCGGTGTTAAAAAAAAAAAAAAAAAAAAAAAATCTTCATCACCCCCCACAAGTAGTACAGTGTCACCATGGTGACACTGTACTGCTAGGGTGACAGTATGTAAAAAAAATATAAGTAATATAAAAAAATAAAGTAAATGTTTAAAAGTTATAATTTTTGGTTATAAACTAATTTTGGATTTTTTTTTTTGTCACTAAAAAGATATCAATAAATTTTGGCCAAGATTTATGATGAAATATTATTTACAAAATTTTATACAAAAAACTTTTTTTTTCACAATTTGTGGACTTTTTCATTTACATAGCAAAAAAAAAATAAAAATCCCAGTGGTGAATAAATACCACCAAAATAAAGCTTTATCGGTCTAAAAAAAAAAGCTAAATTCATATGGGTACAGACCGCGCAATTGTCATTCAAAGTGTCATAGCACTGAAAGCTGAAAAATGGCCTGGACAGGAAGGAGGTAAAATTGTCCGGACTTGAAGTGGTTAAAGGAGAAGTACCCCATATGGAAGAAAAATATATTTCAAATATATGTCAAAATATTTGGGAAAATATATTTCAAATACTACAATTTTTATTTATTTTTTTCAATAAATATATGAAATGCGTTTTTTTTATTACAAAATATATGAAATATTTTTACAAATACATTTCAAATATACTGTATGTCTTTAAAAATACAAATCTACATTTTTGGGATGCATTTGCAAATCTATGTAAAAATATGTTAAATTACTATTTTATATGTTAAAAACAAAATCTGAAAAATATTTAAAAAATATATTTTTCAGATTTGTTTTAACATCTAAAAAAGTCATTTTAACATTTTACATATATTTGTAAATGCATTCCAAAAAAGTAGATTTGTATTTTTAAAGACACAGTATATTTGAAAAATGTATTTTAAAAAATATTTTTCATATATTTTGTAATAACTCATTTCAACATACAGTATATATAGCAAGCATGCTGTACTGCATATACAGACTGATTTTACTGTTGTGGGTTTAGCAACACTTTAATCATGGAGTCTCCATTTCTCTTTGACAAATGGTTGCTTAGCGGGGACACACTCTTGGGTGGGCACCCAACAAATGCTGGAGGAATACCAAATAGCATTGAATGTTTTTGGAGCGACATGTTTTTGCTGCTGGTTCTACTGTATGTTCAGTCTTGTGATTCAAACGCCTCTGCCTCACCATGGCCAAGAAGACATGGGAGCGCTGGATCGTTTAGACTTCTTCAAGCTTGAGACTAGTATAGGGGATTGCTTTTTCAGCAGCTCTTCAGGAAGGTCAGCGGGTATGTTGGATAGAAACCAGTATGTTTTTTGTTGAAAGCCGTGTATAGTTAAGTTTTCAGGGGTTCGTAGGGTCCCCCTTCATCAGGATTTAGCAGACATTATAAAAAAAAGACTCCCCAAAGCTTTAGGAGAAGATTTTTTTATTTCTTCAGCTCGCTGTCCAGAACTCTTCTTATACATCCAACAAATGGTAATAAAAGTGAGCGCTGTTAAAAAAGCAGCTGAACACGCAAGGACACAAAATAAAACCTCGTCAAATATACACAAATAGTGCAGTGCTAAACTTAATACGAAATAAATAAAATTTAAATATATGTCCTAAATGTAGGATAAACCGTACAAGCGTGACAGTCTATGTAGTGTAAATATCACAGAATCTTCAATCCAGTGGTGGTGCTCCTAGTGGTAAAGTAAGAACTGCGCACTCACCAGAGGCGTAATAAAATTACGCGGTGTATAGGTCAACAAAGATCCCCTTCACAGGTCTGGGTCCAGGCTGGAACATGAGATGATTCCCCCTCCAGGAATATGGATATGAGCCCTCATGGGATGTAAATGGATCCAGCGAGCCAGAGGTCCCTTTTAAGGGATAGGTGGGTATGGATGCCTGTATACAGGTGATTCCCTCTCTGGATGGATGGACAGGAGACTGGATCGTGGCAAGGCTCTATAAATGATAAAGCTTGACGATGTTGACTTTGTGTTTTTCTAAAACCTGAAGAATCTGTGCAGTGCTGGGGTCTACAACAAGGATCAGCGAGTGACAGCCATAAGCAATTAAACCTTGACAGCCCCAGTCCAGAGCCCCCTTGTTATGCTGGGTCAGAGCCCCTGTCAGGGTCCAGGTGGACAGCTTGATATTCACCAACAACGGAATCATTATGTCAAGGTTTAATTGCTTGTTCCAGCCTGGACCCAGACCTGTGAAGGGGATCTTTGTTGACCTATACATCATGTAATTTTCTTACGCGCTGGTGAGTGTGCAATTCTTACTTTACCACTAGGAGCACCACCACTGGATTGAAGATTCTGTGATATTTACACTACATAGACTGTCACGCTTGTACGGTTTATCTTACATTTAGGACATATATTTTAATTATATTTATTTCTTATTAAGTTTAGCGCTGCACTATTTTGTGTATCTTCCTATACATCAGTCCAGCCTAAAGGTGTGTTTTTTTTTTTTTTTTTTTGTTTGTTTGTTTTTTTGTTAAATACCTGCAAAACCCTGCTGAAGGGTGAACCGAACCCTGAAATGTGTTTCTGTAACTGAATGTGCCTTTCAGTAAAAACAGCGTCTGCGCCTTGGCGCTTTCCAGGTTTACTCCATAGCCAGGATGGTGACACTCTCTCATTTCCTGGTCTTGCTATGTTACTTCATATAGCAACTCTTCACTTTCAACATGCTTGATGGACAATGAGTTGGCATCATTCCTTCTGTCCGGTGAGCAGGAAAGTGACCCAGGAAACTATTATTCTGACCCAGGAAATAGCGGAATCCTCTACATCAGTGGGCTCCAAGCTGTGGCCCGTCGGCCAGATGCGGCCTTTTGCTTGCCTTTGAGGCATTATTCCAGCCACTGAAACCAACAATGGGGCATTGATCTTCCCACCGACAGCAACGATGGGGCACTATTCCTTCTGATACCAATGATGGGACACTCTTCCTCCCACTGATACCAATGATGGGACACTCTTCCTCCCACTGATACCAATGATGGGACACTCTTCCTCCCACTGATACCAATGATGGGACACTCTTCCTCCCACTGATCAATGATGGGACACTCTTCCTCCCACTGATACCAATGATGGGACACTCTTCCTCCCACTGATACCAATGATGGGACACTCTTCCTCCCCACTGATACCAATGATGGGACACTCTTCCTCTGATACCACTGACACTCTTCCTCCCACTGATACCAATGATGGGACACTCTTCCTCCCACTGATACCAATGATGGGACAATGATGGGACACTTCCTCCCACTGATACCAATGATGGGACACTCTTCCTCCCACTGATACCAATGATGGGACACTCTTCCTCCCCCACTGATACCAATGATGGACACTCTTCCTCCCACTGATACCAATGATGGGACGCTCTTTCCTCCCACACCAATGATCTCTTCCTCCCACTGATACCAATGATGGGACACTCTTCCTCCCACTGATGCCAATGATGGGACACTCTTCCTCCCACTGATGCCAATGATGGGACACTCTTCCTCCCACTGATACCAATGATGGGACACTATTCCTTCCATTGACACCAATGATGGGGCACCTCCTCCTGACCATTGACACCAATGATGGGGCACACTTCCTCCCACTGACACCAATGATGGTGACCACTCTTCCTCCCACTGATACCAACTATTTCTACTCCAAATACAAAAGACATACCATTGTTTACTCCACTGGGCACAGTCTGGCCCCCCCCGAAGTCTTTAGGACAGTAAACTGGCCCTTTTTGTTTAAAAAGTTTGGAGACCCCTGCTCTACATGGTTGTGCAATCTGAAAAGGGTGTTTGAATCACATAACTGGCTGACCAAAATTTCAAATCCCTCGGCAGGTATAATGACTTACAAGTACATGTTACAACCGCATGTTTAGCAGTTAAGATTGAGCTGCACTTTAAGTAGCATTTCATGTTAGACTTCAGTTTTTATTAGGAAGTCCTGTGTAGTCCCTCAATGGGTCACCTACGCTGTACCACCCACTGCTCATCTGTACCTTCATTGTAGGTTTGTAATAACTTCATTATGTGATTATCTGTCTCTTGCAGTATTTGGAAGATCCTCCTCCCTTGGTCCAGACAGAATGTACTCAGAGCACATTTGAAGAAGATCAATATGATCACATTTCTATTGTACAATTGGACCCTTTCCTGGATGTTAGTAAGGAAACCCGTCCCGATCACAACCAGTTGGGTTCAGAGAAGACCTGAGCGCTTGGTAGAGGGATAACCGTAATTGGAACAATGTACGAACCTGGAGCCTCATGCTGTATGTACAGAGTATGGACCACGGGCTGCACAGAGGATTCACTCGCCCAGCACTGCTACAAATCTGTACCTTGTACATCATGCAGGCCGGATGTATAAAGGATTCATAGGCTCCATCCTGGGAATCTAATGTATACATTAGGGGAAGCGGGCTGCTTCCCGTTTTATTGTCTTGCTATCTGTCCTGCAAGGAAAGATGTAAAGCTAATCAGCGATATGCACTATGCTCCTTAATATTTCATGTCAGTTTGTATGAACTTCACAGGTCCTTTTTTTAGTCCTGGACGTTTCATAGGGGGTATGTGTGACATGCAACATGCAGACATAAATAAAGTGTTGAACAAAGCTTCAATAAAAAACTCTAGCCAAACATAAAAACATAGGTGAGATATATATAGATCTATATGATTCTCTAATTCTCATTCTGTCCAGCCAGTCTTGTGATGCACACAGCCAAGCCACACTGCAGAGCCAAGCTGGTGACAGCAAATGAGCAATGTGACTTTGTGCAAGGAACAGAATTATGAATTTGGCAGGAAAAACGGTTCCCATATACTGTATGTATTTCAACGTTTGACTTATGTTCTGTTGTATGATCATTTTGTATGCTAGAGTGTAGCTACGCGTTTCAGTGCCTTTTCATTGTGGAACAGCATCTCATGGCACTCCTTCCAACAAGGCTTCCACCTCTCAGAGTCAGAAGCAGAAATGCACTTAGGTGCCTACAGAGCTGCAAGTTACGTAATCGGCCAAGGATTCCTTTTGGGTGATTATATATGTATTTATTACTGTAGTGCACCTTAAAGCATACAGACCAGCAAGTGTGAAGAACAATGAGAGTTTTTATACCAAAGTCGTTAGTGCCAACAACATGAAGACTTCTATTTACTGGGAACTCTTTTATATGGTACATTGGGAAGGTGCATACACACTTTCTAGGGAATACAAACATTGTGAGAAATTACATTTTCTAATGTTTATGCTGTCTATTGTAATTGCTTCCTGTGTTCACCTACAGACTGCGAGTTCTAATCGTTATTTTATTTCATATTGATTTTTCTCACTGTGAAATTGTTATTTGGTGGAAATAAAGAAATCATGGTATTCTTAGTAATCGCTACCTCATGAGTCATTTTATCATCTTGAAAGGCTCTTTTTTCCTGATTTCCTCAATAGACACCTCATTGAAATTCGGTTATGGACCGCTTGGAGCCAGCAGTATTGTAAGGAGAGATCACCAGCGTGTTTGGTGTGAAATTACGATTTCTTTTTTTTTTTTTTTTTTCAAACTTTTACTGAAAAATGAAGGGAAATACAGGAGCAAAGAGCAGGGCAGTAGACAATCATACAAATGGTTACAAGAAAAATGTACATTGTTCATATACAGCATACACAATAGATTACATCTTTATAGCCCTTTTGTTGCAGAGTTTTAAGATCACATCCGTAAAAAATTTTTTACAAAGTATGTAGCGGTTGAGTAGAGGAAACAAAAGTCAGAGAAGGGAAAGAAAAGAAGAGCAGAACACACAATAGGAATGATAACAGTTGCAGTTGGGCCATCAAGTTCCATTTTAACAATCAACTAGCCGTAATGTATCAGATTTGTAAAAGTCTGTTCGTTATTAATCTTGGAGGTGCCAAGCTGGGCGTATCTAGCCAGTTCTGCCAGATTAGCTCAAATTTACGTGGGGCATTATGGTGACGATAGGTAATTTGTTCTTTTAAAAGGGGAAAATTAACATACTCCACCCAACATTTCTTAGAAGGTATTGTATCTAGCTATTGGTTTTCTTGCTAAGTACAAGAGATGAGTAATCATGATGTAGATACCCGGAGAGTACAGCTCGGGGTCCAGCGCTCCCAATAGACACACTAATGGATCCGAAGGGACAGGAGTCTGGGAGAGGGAAGACACAGCCCCCAGAACTCCCAATATATTGCTAATTTTGGACATCTCCAAATCGTCTGAATAAAGTCCCCTCTGTGTGCCATACAGTTAGGGCACAAAGGTGTATCTCTCCTGCCCCATTCAAACAATCTAACCGGTGTTCGGTATGCCCTATGAAGGATAAATAGTTGGGATAACTTGTGTGAGGCCGACGGATGATACAGGTACTGACTCCAATGCCAAATCCCAACGATCACCCCCCTATCTCCCCCAGATCTGTAACCCACTGGGCCCTAGCTTTCAAACTCGCATGGTCCTGGGGAAATTACTATTTCTTATAAAATACCTACAAAAGAAATAACGTGCTGAACACATTTTTATGGTGTTTATCAAATTGAAAATTTCTGTTTGAAAAGAGAAAATAATGAATGCTAATGTTAATAATGTAGCTTTATGCTTTTATGAACAGAGCGTTAACCATATATACAGTAAGTGTGTTTTATTTATATATATATTATATATATATATATCTCTCTCTATATATATATCTCTCACTGAAGAAATGACACTTTGCTACAATGTGACATAGTGAGTGTACAGCTTGTATAACATGTAAATTTGCTGTCCCCTCAAAATAACTCAACACACAGCCATTAATGTCTAAACCGCTGGCAACAAAAGTGAGTACACTCCTAAATGAAAATGTCCAGATTGGGCCCATTAGCCATTTTCCCTCCCGGTGTCATGTGACTGGTTAGTGTTACAAGGTCTCAGGTGTGAATGGGGAGCAGGTGTGTTGCATTTGGTGTTATCGCTCTCACTCTCTCTACTGGTCCCTGGAAGTTCAACATGGCACCTCATGGCAAAAAAGAACTCTGAGGATTTGAAAAAAAGAATTGTTGCTCTACATAAAGATGGCCTAGGCTATAAGAAGATTGCCAAGACCCTGAAACTGAGTTGCAGCACGGTGGCCAAGACCATACAGCGGTTTAACAGGACAGGTTCCACTCAGAACAGGCCGCGCCATGGTCGACCAAAGAAGTTGAGTGCACATGCTCAGCATTATATGCAGAGGTTGTCTTTGGGAAATAGATGTATGAGTGCTGCCAGCATTTCTGCAGAGGTTGAAGGGGGGGTTCAGCCTGTCAGTACTCAGACCATACGCCGCACATTGCATCAAATTGGTCTAGATGGCTGTCGTCCCAAAAGGAAGCCTCTTCTAAAGATGATGCACAAGAAAGCCCTGCAAACAGTTTGCTGAAGACAAGCAGACTAAGGACATGGATTACTGGAACCATGTCCTGTGGTCTGATGACACCAACATCAACTGATTTGGTTCAGATGGTGTCAAGCGTGTGTGGCGGCAACCAGGTGAGGAGTACAAAGACAAGTGTGTCTTGCCTACAGTCGAGCATGGTGGTGGGAGTGTCATGGTCTGGGCTGCATGAGTGCTGCCGGCACTGGGGAGCTACAGTTCATTGAGGGAACCATGAATGCCAACATGTACTGTGACATACTGAAGCTGAGCATGATCCCCTCCCTTTGGAGACTGGGCCACAGGGCAGTATTCCAGCATAATGACTCCAAACACATCTCCAAGATGACCAGTGCCTTGCTAATGAATCTGAAGGTAAAGGTGATGGACTGGCCAAGCATGTCTCCAGACCTAAACCCTATTGAGCATCTGTGGGGCATCCTCAAACGGAAGGCGGAGGAGCGCAAAGTCTCTAACATCCACCTGCCCCGTGATGTCGTCATGGAGGAGTGGAAGAGGACTTCAGTGGCACCTGTGAAGCTCTGGTGAACTCCATGCCCAAGAGGGTTAAGGACAGTGCTGGAAAATAATGGTGGCCACACAAAATATTGACACTTTGGGCCCAATTTGGACATTGTCACTTAGGGGTGTACTCACTTTTGTTGCCAGCGGTTTATACATTCATGGCTGTGTGTTGAGTTATTTTGAGGGGACAGCAAATTTACATGTTATACAAGCTGTACACTCACTACGTCACATTGTAGCAAAGTGTCATTTCTTCAGTGTTGTCACTTGAAAAGATAGAATAAAATATTTACAAAAATGTGAGGGGTGATCTCACTTCTGGCAGATACTGTGTGTGTACACACACGCACGCACACTTTATTAGGTCCACCTTGCTAGTACTAAGAATATCTCCCCCACACCATTACACCACCATCCACCGCCTGAACCGTTGATACAAGGCAGGATAGATCGATGCTTTCATGTTGTTTCCGCTGAATCACGACCCTGCTATCTGAATGTCATAGCAACTAGTCTGCTCATTCTCTGACACCAACAAGACATTTTCATCCACACAACTGGCGCTCACTGAATATTTTCTCTTTTTGGGACCATTCTCTATAACCTCTATAGATGGCTGTGCATGAAAATCCCAGCAGGTCAGCAGTTTTTGAAATACTCAGACCAGCCCGTCTGGCACCAACAACCATGCCACGTTAAAAGTCACTTTAATCCCCTTTCATCTCCAATCTGATGGTCAGTTTGAACTTCCAAGTCATCATCACCACTTCTACATGCATTGAGCTGCTGCCATGTGATTGGCTGATTAGCACTTTGTGTTACTAAGCAATTGAACAGGTGTACCTAATAAAGTGGCCGGTGAGTGTATGTGTGTATATGTATGTACAGGTGAAACTCGAACAATTAGAATATCGTGCAAAAGTTCATTTATTTCAGTAATACAACTTAGAAGGTGAAACTAATATATGAGATAGACTCATTACATGCAAAGCAAGATAGTTCAAGCCGTGATTTGTCATCATTGTGATGATTATGGCTTACAGCCTTACAGTGATGAAAACCCCAAATCCACAATCTCAGAAAATTAGAATATTACATGCAATCAATAAAACAAGGATTGTACATAGAACAATATCGGACCTCTGAAAAGTAGAAGCATGCATATGTACTCAGTACTTGGTTTGGGCCCCTTTTGCAGCAATTACTGCCTCAATGCGGCGTGGCATGGAAGCTATCAGCCTGTGGCACTGCTGAGGTGTTATGGAAGACCAG